AATGAATGAATGAACGAATGAATGAACGAATGAACGAACGAACGAACGAACGAATGAATAAATGAATGTGTGTGTGTGTACGTGCGGGCAAAGAGATCATATATTATTAGGATGACTCTGTCGATGGCTAAGTAATGAATGGTAATTGACTTTTAATGGCAAATTAAAAAGTGGCTTGTTGGTTGGTCGGTTGGATGGTTGGTTAGTTGGTTGGTCGGTTGGTTGGTTGGTTGGTCGTCTGGTTGGTTAGTTGGTCAGTTGGTTGGTTAGTTGGTTGGTTGGATGGTTGGATGTTTGGTCGGTTGGTTGGTTGGAAGATTGGTTGGTTGGCTGGTTGGTCAGCTGGTTAAAATTTAAATCCCACTTAACTACACTAGGCCAAAAATTCACATAGGCCAGCTATAACAAACAAAATTTTTAAAAAGCTTCTCTAGGCTAAGTTACACTATAAATAAAAACATTAATTCACCTAATCATTCATCCAATCATGCATTCATTCGTTCATTCATATATTTCAACAATAATTATTTGTATAATTCCATTTCCAAAAAAAAAAAAATTTGACGGGAAACATAAAAAAGCCCGCGCGCATTAAACAATTTATGTAGCACTTAACAAAATGGCTTTACAAGTTGATGATTAGGCACTGAAAGTGGATTTCCATCCATGTGTTTCTATTATTTACATTCATCCATGCAGCGGTATCAACAGAAAATTTTGGGTTTTATGTTCTTTTTTCACCTATTTCTTCATCTATTCATCTGTCAATTAAAATATTAATTGATTAATTAATTGATTAATTATTTGATTTGTTGATTTATTAATTCATTAATTCAATAATTCATTCATTAATTCAATCGTTCGTTCATTCATTCATTCATTCTCTAAACTTTCATAAAATTTTTAACAAAAAATGCTTCCATCATCATCATTGTGATCAGTATCATTATCATGTCAAAACCATCGTCATCATCATCATCACGTCGATACCACATTTTGAAGCGCTCAACTTTTTAGTTGTCAAAGCACGATATGAACAGCTCAGGGAAA